AGTTCAAGCAAATATGGTCTAATGATAGACCAGATGGGGTCAAAAACTACAAAATGATAAAATTTATGAAGGCTGATTTCTATCAGTATACCTTGACCCAAAGAGGAGATGAATACATCCGAACTCAAGCGGATTTTGTGAACATGAACCCGAAGGAAATTTTCTTCATAGCTAGAGTGTTTCAGGTCAAAGCTAAAAATCATCCTAAAATAGAAATCGCTTGTGAAAGAGCTTGTGAATTTGTCAAGGCGCTGGTATGCAATTTCGGAAAGATTGATGCAGAAATCCATCCAGTCCTCGCCAAGAAATTGGATTTTCATGAACTAGAGCCTGTACCAACATTCATTAATGGGTTTCAAGAAATGTCACTTGGTGCTAACTATCCAGAATTAGGAGTTGTCTATGAAAGGGCTTAAGAAGGTCCAAAATACTTCATTCCAGTGACCACAATCCATCGACTCATCAAGAAACAACTAGACACCACTTTAGCATCAATCCAAAAATCAAATCATACTACAGATGAAGTCAGGTTTGAAATATCAAGAAGAATTTAGTGGTTTTTCGAAGTTAGAAAATTTTGGTGGATTTTTATTCGGTTCCTCAAATTGCATAAATAAAGAAGACAGCTAAGAGGTCACTTTAGGGAAATTGTTAATACAATAGGTGACCCTCTTCAGCTAAAGGAGTCGCAACCCAGAAGTGTTGGTGATACCGCAAAAAAATTTAACTACTAAAGTAGATGAATTTTTGTGAACTGCAACCACAATCACAACTGCTACTGAAGATGTCACACCCCCAAACCAGACGGCAGAAACGTCTAGGGGTGGAGGACTTCATTTATAATATCACAACACATGCATCATAGTAATCAAAGTACAAACAACCATTGTATTTAAAAAGTATAAGTTTTATATGTGTTCAATCATTGTATATTGACACCAAAAGAGTAATACCAAAATACAAAAGATATGACTCAAAACGGCTCCATCTTCTCAAAATCTCGGGAAGTATATATTTACTGTTTCCTTGAGAATACAAGTAATTTGAAAAGAGAGTATCAACATAAAGTTGAGTGAGTGCATAAGTATTTATGTTTAAAAGTATGTTTTCTATTCCTTGAATGTGTGTAAACTGTTCCAAAAAATCCTATATTTTTTGTTGTATATGAAAAATAGTTTTAATCCCATAAAACCGTTCTGTTTGTAAACCAATGTTCTGTAATTGTATTCCTTTATAAAATGTCACAACTAGGAATTCTGATGCTTTGCAAATACTTAACAAGGATGACATTGTAACTAAAACTTGAAAACATGTATGGTGCTTATTCAATGACAATAAAATTTCATCAAGCGCTTCATACAAACATTCAAATAGTCAGCAAAATAATGGAAACCCTAAAAATCCCGACTTAAGTCCATTATGGACTAGGATTTTCTTATTGGGCCTAATGGGCCAATATGCTTCCAATTTGACTATTTTGGGCTTAGAACTCTTGAATGGGTTCTAATCGGACCCACATTCGTGAGACTTAACCTTTTTGGGCCTTATAAGCCCAAAATGGACTAGTTTATCTTCAATAGGCCTTATTAGGCCATAACAAATTCAATTAGCTTTAATGGACTCAAATTCATTCCTTTATGCTAATTTGGGCCGTGAACATCCCTAGAAGCCCAATGGGCTGAAAAAATAGTTATTTAGCCTCATAATTTGGAGCAAGACTTAGAATGGCCCCAAGATGATTCCTCCCCTCTCTCCTTAGCCCAAATCGGCCCATGTTTAATAATAAAAAAAGAGATAAGAATGGAAAAAGGAATTAAAACAAAAAGGGAAATTATGGAATATTTGTGAGGATGCCACCTTCTTATTGCATAGTGGACATCCATGCAGTGTCACTTCACTTCTCTCCCCTCCCTCTCCTCTTCTTATCTCTCAGCCAAAGGAAGAACACACACACACACACAATTCACTTAAAGTTTTCTCTCAAGAACTCACAACAACCTATCCTCTTCTTCATCAAAATTTCGAGATCTTGGAACATTTCAAGTAGATTCTTCCATAAAAATCATCATCCTAGGTAAGTTGATGCTTAGATCCATGATCTAGATTCTTTGTTTTATCAAAATTCTCTTCTTAACTCAAAAAACTCATGATCATCATCCTAGAAACCCTAAGATCGAGATCCACCCAAGAAGGCTTGATATGACTAAATTTTCTTCATTTCTTCCTTCAAAACCGTGATCAACAAAGCAAGGTGAGTTCATACCCCTCTATTTTCGGTTTTCACAAGTTTTATGGGGGAGAATACAAGTAAAATGTGTAAATCTATGTGTATTTGTATGCTATGTGTGATTTTTGGTTTTATGTGATATATGTGTGCCAAAAATGAAAGGGATTTCAAGATCTATAGTTCAAGGAGGAAAAATATGTGATCTAGGAAGTATTACACTTAAAGAGTTAAGAAAATCTACCATATAAGGGTTAAAATAAACAAGTTACAACATAAAACTCATTATTGGGCTATTTTTGTCAAATAAGAAAAACTTTGGGGAAAACTGTCATTTACGGTTTTTATAAAGACCAAAAGAGTCCAAACAGTTAATATAGAAGCTTTTATGAATATTATGCTTTTCAAAGGACTAGAAATGAAAATTGTAGTCTATTGGGCCAAGCTTTGGGCTTTTCGGCCCATAGGCCCAAAATTGCGAAAAAAATGAGTTTTAAGGGGCTGAAATGGTAAATTTTCCAAAACAGTGGGTTAAAGTGGTAAATAAATCTATTTCAGGGGTTAAAATGACCCTTTTTGCCAAAAAGGATCAAACATGCAAAGTTTTTGGATTTTGGGTAAAAATTGTAAAATTTGTGAAAAGTTTGGACTTTAACTAAAAATCCTTTACCAAAGGGTCTGAAACTGCCAAAGAGTAAATTTTGGGCTAAAAACATTACTTAAATAAGTCTATGGGCCAAAAATGTCAAGAAAATAGTTTAAGGGCCTAAAATGTCATTTTTTTTATAAAAAGGGACTAAGATTGTCATTTTTATTAAAGAAGGGCTGAATAGGTCAAACCAATATTTTTGAGTCAATTATTTTATTACTAAGATATTTGGGTCAAAATACCAAGTTATAACTTATGAAAATAGAATGAAAAATATACATATATTTTCAAATATCGTTATAAACAGTCGACAATATTCGTGCCTTGGCGATTTAACAATTGTTCAATCAAACTTCTGACAATTATACTATACATAAAACAAGTAAATATTCAAATTGTTGGGATTGAAATATTCTAATCATGCTTATTGGGCCTTCCTGACCAATTAAAATGACTTTTGGGCCCAACAATAATAATAAATGTTTATTGGGCCTCCTGTGACCCAATTACATGCTTAAGGGAACCTCAATGACTTTTACGTGCTATTGGGCCTTAGTGGCCCATTAGCATTGCTAGTAAGGTCCAAGTAAATCATATGCGAAATGGGACAACACGTCCTTCGTATACTCGACAGCCTTATATAACAAGTGTGATTAGTAGGACATTGTGGTCCTCTTCTCCTCGTCTGTTAGGCTTACCGACTATTCAAATAAATAAAAATCAGATCGTTAGTCAAGGTTAATCAAATTCATTTGGATTAAGTGAGTAATAACAGGCGACACCAATAAGTGTCGGTCGTAGTTTGTAGTTAGCATCAAAGTCTCCTGGAGGGAGAGCGAGAGTTTGTGTATTGATCTATACGGGGGTGACTCCCCCACACCTCAGTTGTTCGCTAGAGTTAGACTCGGCCAGTCTAGGGTGAAAAAATCTTAAGATCAATTCCGGCGTTCACTAGAATGCCAAGACAGACGAACTAGTCATTATCATGTATGGTTATAACGACTCACATAAATAAATCCAATACCATCCGAGTAATCAAGGGCATTCGTAATCATAAGTTGTGACGGTATAATAATTCAAAAAGATCATACTGTTTATCGGAAAACATCGGGTTTTACGGGGTAATCAACATTAATCACTTGTATTTTCAATAACTACAACGCCAAACTCCTCATATATGTATGTTTTGAAATCATTCATGCATAAACCTATGGATCTTCATACTTTAGTATAAACAATTATCTTTTCAGAAAATATCGGATTTTCTGGGTTTTACAAACTGCACAAAACATATTCATAACGAACCTGCTTATGAACTCACCAACATTCCATATGTTGACGTTTTTCAAAATAACTTGTATTCTCAGGTAACAGGTAAGCTGAAGAGCAATACCAAGTATGTTATGATGTCACGTTTTGAAAACTTTCAAACAATTTATGGTATGCAAATGTACTATTTAAACAATGTACTTGATGTGAAAAATGTCAGTTGTAATGTATTAATGCATGGTGATGTTTATGTTATGTTTCATGTATATTCACTGATGATATTCAATTTAAGTCACGCGAGCCTTCGGACGTTTCTGACGTCTGTTGCGGGGGTGTGACAGGTTGGTATCAAAGCTCTATTTATAGTGAACTGGCATATCTAACCATACATTGATATGCAACTATAAACCCAGCAAGGGAGTAAATAACTCTAAACAAAACAAATAAAAATATAATAATAAACACTCTTACTTGTGCGACTTAGGAAAATGAACATAAAAACCATTCAAAGAAGATGATTGGAGCCCGACATCTTGATTAAGCCAGGACGGTTCACAGTTGTATTAGGGGCGAATGTTGCCTGATCAACTACATTTCTTCCGAAATACAACTATCACATGCCCTGGGGAAATCACGATGGTCAGTAAACTTAAAAACATACCCTTTGTTACCAAGAATAGAATATCAATACAATTTATATAACAAGTAAAACATCTTAGGAATCATAGTATTTTATACACTCCAATGCACACACTTCTCACACCTACACCTCCCATGCAAGCAATATGGTGGGAATACAACAAGACAACCCTTACTATTAATCTCTAGTAGTCTATGGGGAGATTGAGGTTGGTCTAGATGACAATCCTGAAGAAAACCCTGAATGAGGCCTTGCAATGGGTCAGGAGGTGGGACCCGGAGTGGAACCGGAAGAGTATGTGGTGACTAATTATGAATATGATGAATCTGACTAGGAGTCAGATGAAGGAAAGGACGTTAAGGAGACATCTAGTAAACCCCACCGATCAAAAGCCCTATCAGACCCGTACACGATTCAGGAAAGTGATACAGACTACATACACTCTCTTGTGAAAGAAATAACCAATCTTAAGCGTCAACTCTTTGCGGCCGAAGCTAGAGTCGTTCGAGCCGAGCAAATGGAAGAAGTAATCACCCATGAGGTGAAGGAACTAGTTGAACTCCTGATACGCCAACTTGACGATTAAGTGTCATCGTCATTGTAACTGACATAACGTACTCTACTATTTGCTATTATAAGTTTTATAATATGTAGAATTAGCCGTATCACTTACTAGTATTGTGTTCCTATTGATATTATTGATGGGTTTTATACATAAGAACATTCCTAAGTGCGCATACAAACCCTAATGCTTGGATCTAGGTTTCTCTATTAAACATGCTTTGAATCCAAGGCTTCTAATGACTTATTAGGTGTAAGAACAACACAAAAATTAGATCTAGAAACATACCTTTGATTCTCTTGTTTGATCTTGTTGTCTTGGAGCTCTAGAGTCACAATTGTCACTCCTCTAATGGCTTACAAACACCAACTAGCAAAGAGGATGATTTCAGAGAGAGGAGAGAGGAGGAAATCGGCCAGGGTATCCTTACTTTAGAGGATGTGTCGAATTCTCTATCCCATAGGGTCTATTTATACTTGTAGACTCCTTAAGGGTTACAGCTTAAACCCTAGTTGGATAACTATTACTCAAAGCAATCCAAATCCTTCCAAGATAAGGCCTTGGACGAATTTAGGACTTATACTAGCCTAGAATTCATCCAACCCTTTATCCAATAAGGATTTACAGTCTAAAGTTTAACTATCAAACAATTGACAGTTTATACCCTCTTATTTAATTAATCTCCTTATGTCACCAAATTAATACTAAATAATCTATGACTTATATTAATCAAATAACTATATTATTATTCCTTATATTATTCTCATAATATATTAATAATATCTATTCTCTCATAATAAATCATCCTACCAAGTTGCTATGGTGAAGGCAACCCAAAAGGACCATGCACAATCGGGTCAAATACTTACCTAATATAGTTGCAGCCTTAGACACTATTCCAACAGTCTCCCACTTGGATAAGTCTAGTAACTATATGTGCAGGTACACTCCGATTTGCAATCGTAGCTCTCAAAGACGCTGTCAAACTCTGATCTAATCAATCTTGTCCTTCAGATAAGAGATCGTACATTCCTCTGTTAGATATCATGCTGACAATACTATGGAATAGTTAGTCTAGCATTTGGTTTCTCGATCTCCGATTTATTTGACATAGAACTTAATCGAACACATCAATTCAGTTCTGACCGGGCCCGGCACATAAGTCAAATCAAATCATCAAGCGGCCGAGATATCACTTTTTCCTTCTTAGAATAAAAAGTTACAAATAAACTTAGACTTATATGCATTTACTTATTCATTAACTAACCATACACAACAATGCGTTTTATAACATCGAGTTACCAATGCGTTTTCGCATTATCAATGTACAATCAATTAACCAATAACAAACCATATATCTAGGTTTTAAGACTATATGATATTATCGTCTTGCGATCACCCATTTACGATCACATTCCATAAGGTGATTCCAGCAAGCGCGGGTTTGTTCCAATGCTCAAAACTAGTTCATAAGCACTCATGAACGTTGCAAAAATCTTTTGCTATGTCTAAAACCATTTAGACACTCTACACACCTATTCATGAGAATCTTCATTCATACCTACTTCCAACATATGAACGATTGTGGACAATTTGAATAATTCGATTATTCCTAATAAACTCAATTATTCTGGAAGTCAAAACATGCAAAGTGAAACAATAGTTAAACAATTAACATAGGACAGTAACATTACTTAGAAATAAAACTCCTTTATTTAATCATCAAATGTTAATTACATTTATCTACTATACGTTTCTAATACTATCTAATCTATGCTAATATCATCCTTCAGCCCAATACTCCTAGCATGCTACAAATGCTTAACCCTACTCAGTCCCTTCGTAAGCGGATCTGCTGGATTATCTTCTGATGATATTCTCTTCACTACGAGTTGTCCTTCTTCTACACGATGTCTAATAAAGTGATATTTTCTGTCGATATGTCATGATCTACCATGATCTCTCGGTTCCTTGGTCAAGGCAACCGCACCTTCATTATCATAGAAAATCTCCATGGGCTCCTTTATGGTAGGTACAACTCCAAGATCACCAATGAAGTTCTTTAGCCATATTGCCTCCTTCGATGCTTTGCTTGCTGCGATGTACTCTGATTCTCACGTTGAATCAGCTACGATTTCCTTCTTGGAAATCTTCCAAGTTGCTGCTCTTCCATTCAGAGTAAAGACCCAGCCCGACTGCAAACAGTAGTTGTCCCTATCGGTCTGAAAACTGGCGTCACTATACCCTCGCACCTTCAACTCATTACTCCCTCCAAGGACTAAGAACCATTCCTTCGTCCTCCGAAGGTACTTAAGGATATTCTTCACCACAACCCAATGGGCTCTGCCAGGATTCCCTTGATATCTACTAACCATGCTCAAAGCAAAGGCTACATCAGGGCGAGTACAAGTCATAGCGTACATGATTGAGCCAACTGCTGAAGCATATGGAACTCGGCTCATTTCAGCTATCTCGGCTTCGGTACTCGGACTTTGAGTCTTACTCAACTTGGCATTGCTTTGTATCGGTAATTCTCCCTTCTTCGAGTTTTCCATACTAAAACGTTTTAGTACCTTCTCTAAGTAAGTGTTCTAACTAAGTCCTATTAGTCTCTTACTTCTTTCTCTTACTATCCTTATTCCCAAAATATAGGAAGCCTCTCCGAGGTCCTACATAGCAAAGCACTTCCCGAGCCAGGACTTAACTTCCTGCAGAGTCGGGATGTCGTTTCCTATGAGTAATATGTCATCAACATATAGAACGAGGAAGCTTACCACACTCCCACTGGATTTGACATATACACACGATTCATCTTCGCTTCGTACAAATCCAAACTCTTTGACTTTCTCATCGAAGCAAAGATTCCATCTGCGAGACGCTTGCTTTAGTCCATAAATGGACTTCTCAAGCTTACACACTCTATTCGGATGCTTCGGATCCACAAACCCCTCTGGATGAGCCATGTAAACATCCTCAGCCAACTTTCCGTTAAGGAAAGCGGTCTTGACATCCATTTGCCAAATCTCATAATCATGAAATGCGGCAATAGCTAGCATCACTCTAATAGATTTTATCTTTGCAACTGGTGAGAAGGTCTCTTCATAGTCAACTCCGGGAGTTTGAGTAAAACCATTCGCAACTAATCGCGCTTTATACGTGTGTACCTTTCCATCCACGTCGGTCTTCTTCTTGAAGATCCATTTGCACCCAACGGTCTTACGTCCGGGCACATTATCAACCAAATTCCAAACTTGGTTATCATACATGGATTGGATGTCGCTATCCATTGCCTCTTTCCATTTTGCAGACTCCGGGCCTGCCATGGCTTCCTTATAGCTATTAGGTTCATCAAGATTTATTAGTGTACTATCACTAATATACGTGTCCCTTTTGGTAGTAATATGAAAACCATACAACTGGGGTTGAAACCTAACTCTCTCGGAACGTCTAAGAGGTAATGATATGTCAATTGGTTCAACCGGAGTTTCCTCCTCGGGTTGAGTGCCAGCGGTTGAGGTTCCTTCATCTATCGACTCTTGAATCTCTTCAAGATCAATTTGCCTCCTACTGTCTCCTTGGCCTATGAATTCTCGCTCTCGGAAAACTCCTCTCCTCACAGCAAAGACAACATTGTCCTTCGGTCTATAGAAGAGATATCCAAAGGATTTCTACGGATAGCCGATGAAAATACATCGCTCACTACGAGGTTCGAGCTTGTCGTGAGTATCTCGTCTTATGAAAGCCTCGCAACCCCAAACCTTGATATGTGCTAACGAAGGATCTTTCCCCGTCCACATCTCGTGAGGTGTTTTGGCAACCTTCTTAGTAGGGACTCGGTTAAGGATATGGGCGGCAGTTTCTAAAGCATACCCCCCAAAAAGAGATAGATAGCGAAGCACGACTCATCATAGAGCGAACCATGTCCAACAAGGTTCGATTACGCCTTTCTGCCACATCATTCAATTGTGGTGTCCTAGGTGGCGTCAATTGTGAAACTATTCCACACTCCTTGAGATAATCGTGGAATTCAAGACTTAGGTACTCTCCTCCTCGATCGGATCGAAGCATCTTGATCTTCCTGCCCAATTGATTCTCCACTTCATTCTTGAACTCTTTGAACTTTTCAAAAGTTTCTGACTTTTGCTTGATTAAGTAGATATACCCATATCTACTATAGTCATCGGTGAAAGTCACATAGAAGCGGTTACCATCCTTCGCGGTAGATCTAAACGGTCCACACACATTGGTATGTATGAGGTACAATAGATTCCTCACCCCTTTCACACGTACCAGCGAAGGGTGACTTAGTCATCTTTCCAAGTAAACAAGACTCGCATGTGTCATCTTCCCTAAGATCGAATGACTCCAACACTCCATCCTTTTGGAGTTGGGCTATGTGTTTCTTGTTGACATGTCCAAGACGACAATGCCATAAGGATGCCTTATCCATACTATTGGAAGAATCCAAGTACAAAACATCATTTCCTAAGTTATCAACAATCATAACAGTTTCATAAATTCCATTGCGTGGTATAGCTTCAAAGTAAAAGACACCATTTAGATAAGCTAAAATATAACCATTCTCATTATTAAAAGAAAATCTAAAACCTTGTCTAAACAAACCATGAAAAGAAATGATGTTTCTAGCCATTTCTGGCAAATAGCAACAACTGTTCAAATCTAAAGATAAACTATTCCTAAGCACTAAAGAATACACTCCAATCTTGGTCATAGGCGACGATCTTCTATTCCCCATGATTAGATTTATTCTTCCATGCTCCACGTCTCTACTTCTTCTTAGTCCCTGCACATTAGAACAAATGTGGTAACCACAACCGGTATCAAGAACCCAATAAGTATTGTGGGAATCATTAGATTTAATTGTATATATACCTGCGAAAGATGGCTTGATCTTTCCTTCCTTGATGGCTTGTAGGTATTCCGGGCAACTTCTCTTCCAATGTCCTATCTTGTGGCAAGGGTGGCACTCTACCTCCTTCGGGTTGGAGCAGGGTTTAGCGGGA